CAGGCACGCTCAAGGCTGGCTACGCCAACCCCGACGCATGGAAAATAAAAAATCACAGGTGTCGACAATTTTGATGCCAATCCTCCTGTGGTGAGTGCGTCTTGAGGATTGAGGCCGGAGCTAGTGGCTCGAATGGGCATGGATTTCGAGTTTGGCACGTTTCAAGGGCTGCCTACGCTACGCAACCTGACGTTGACCCCCCTGTGGTGAGCGTGAGCGCATCTTGAGGATTGCAGTCGAAACGAATGGCTCGAATGGGCTGGCTGGGCATGATTTGCGGGTCACGTCACACGCGTTCAAGGGCTGCCTACGCTACGTCAACTCTGACATGACACCGATCCCCCTGCTGTGGTGAGTGCAGCATCTTGGTACATGATTTCAATCCAGAAAGGATCTGACTTGCCAACCCTAATGTCGAACCCTTGTGGTGAGTGCACCTTGAGAGCTGAAACTGAACAATTTGAATTGCAATGCAACTCAGCAGGGTTGATGGTAATTGTGGGTCAGGGACGTGCCTTTCAGGCTGGATGGGTTAATTCTAAAAGCTCTCTTGTGTGTCTCTATGAACCTCTATGTGCCTTTGTATGCCTCTGTATGCCTCTCTATGCTTCTGTGCGCCCTTGTATGCCTCTGCGTATCTCTATCTATCTATGCTTCAGATAATCCCAAATCGCTTCGTGGAAGCACCAGGAGAGCGCCCAGCCAGTAACGGGGCCAGCATTAACGAATCCGGGGCAGCAGCAGGGCGCGTGGTGGGGGGCGTGGAGCGAGGGCGGGTAGTAGACTGGGGGGTGATGGAGGATGCATGGCGATACATGCTGTACGAACAGATGGGGTGGGAGGAGGGCGGTGAAGGGGCCGTGCTGCTGTGCGAGCCCATTCTTACCCCAAGAGTGAGTTTTGCTTGTGTATGGGATATTGTAACATTAGGGTTAGCACATTCGAGGCACTGGCAGGGTTGTGGGTAGGTGGGGGGGGGTGGAGCTAGGTGTGTGTGAGGGGGGGTTGGAGCGAAGGCGAGTGGTGGTGGGCGCGGAGCAAGGGAGGGTAGTGGGTGGGTGGCGTGAGGGGATGGAATGGAACGTTGCGAGTGTGTGGTGGTGGGCGTGGAGCAGGGGCGGGTGGTGGAGTGGGGGGTGATGGAGGATGCATGGCGATTCATGCTGTATGAACAGATGGGGTGGGAGGAGGGCGGTGAAGGGACGTGCTGCTGCGCGGGCCCTTTCTCACTTTCGGAGTGATTCATTTTTTTTGTGTGGTTGACTTTTGAGTCGACTCAAAGTCAACTCGTGTTGCTCTCTCAGTCCATTCTCACTCCCGGAGTGAATCGCTCTTGTGTGTGGGATATAGTTCTCAGGCATCTCGAAACGCATTCCAAGAGGCGTCTCGCCTCACCACTCGCCTTTCTCACAACAAGGGCGGGTCACACTTCCGAGTGAGATGTTTTCCCCTTCAGCTTGCCTCAAAAGTCCCTCTTTTCGCTCCGTTGTCCTTCCTCCTCCATCTCTTTCTCTCCCCCCTCTCCTCTCCTCTCTCCCGCTTGGCCGTTCCCCTCCTCTTTCCCCCTACTTGTGTCTCTCGTCCTGTCCCACATCATTCTCACATATACTTCCTCCCTCCCATTCTCGCCTGCATCAGGCCGACAGGGAGCAAGCAGCAGCACACGCCCATTCTCTTTTAAGGCTTCTTGCAGAGCCATCCTCCTCCCGAGGTGACTTTTGAGTCGAGCAAGCAGAGCAAAATTCACCTTCTTTGCAGAGCCATCCTCCTCCCGAGGTGACTTTTGAGTCGAGCAAGCAGAGCAAAAGTCACCTTCTTTGCAGAGCCATCCTCCTCCGAGGTGACTTTTGAGTCGAGCAAGCAGAGCAAAAGTCACCTTCTTTGCAGAGCCATCCTCCTCCCGAGGTGACTTTTGAGTCGAGCAAGCAGAGCAAAAGTCACCTTCTTTGCAGAGCCATCCTCCTCCCGTTCCTTTCCCGCTCCTTTCCAACGCTTTTCATTCTCTCCTTCCAGGCGGACGGGAGCAAGCAGTGCAGCGCAGATCCTTTTTGAGTTGTTCAGCTGGTCGGGCCTCTTTACAGCAGAGCAGAGCAGCCATCGATTTTCCCCAGTCCCCTTCCTCCGCACCCTTCTCTCCCATTTTCTCTCACTCCCTCTCCTGTCAGGCGGACAGGAGCAAGCAGCGCAGGTCCTCTTTGAGTCCTTCAGCTGTTCGGGTTTCTTTGCAGCGGAGCAGCCAGTGCTGGCACTCTATGCGCTCGGCCGCGCTCTCGGCTGCTGTGTGGACCTAGGCCATGGCAAAACAGGTCAGAGGAGATAAATTTTAAGTGGCGATTGGCCTTGTAATGGTGATGACTGACTTTAAAACGAGTTTCTTTGCAAAGGAGCAGCCAGTGCTGGCGCTCTATGCCCTCGGCCGCCTCTCCGGTGCTGTGTCGACCTGGGCCATGGCAAGACAGGTCAGCAGGGATGCAGGGATGCCTTATAACGTAGATCACTTCCGTAGGGCCCTCTAGGCCCTTGGGCGCCCCTCAGGCTGCTGCGCGAGGAGCCCTCCTATGCCATGGGCGAACAGGTCAGAGGAGACGCCCTTATAACGGGGAAGATTGACCTTATAACGGGGGTGACTGACTTTAAAGAGGTTGTTGGTACAGCAGAGCAGCCAGTGCTGGCGCTCTATGCTCTCGGCCGCCTCTCAGGCTGCTGTGTCGACCTGGGCCAGGAAAAAACATGTCAGAGGGGGATGATGCAGGGCCTTATAACGGGGATGAATGCCTTGTGACGAGATCACTGCGTTGTAACGCTTCAAATTGGGAATTTCCTCCTCGTTTTTCTCCCTTCTTGCTTCTCTTTTTTTTCCTTCCTTTCTTAGCCTCACCGTTCTCTTTCCCTTTCCACACTACGCTTTATCGGATTCTTTTCCTGTTCCCCCCCCTCTTGTTCCATGCTTTCATTTTCTCCCACCTCTCCAGATTTCTCTGTCGTGCAGGAAGGGGCGTTGATCCCTCCTCTGCTCGCCGTTGGCCAGTTGGCGGCTGCGATCTTTCGGAGCGAATCCAACGGCTAGTATTTGACGAGAGGCAGAGTGGGGGGGGAGCTGGCCAAGGAGGGGAAGTGGAGAGGGATACACTGACACGTGGCAGTCTCTCATTGGATGCTGCAACGTTGAAAGGCTGAAGGAGGAAGCTTGTGAGGTGGCTTTGGACGAGAAAAGTTTTGCAGCTGCCGGGCTGCGGACGAGAGGAAGGAATTGTGCTGCCCGATGGGCAGGTCAGTTCATCTTATTTGTGGACAGGGCTATGTTCTTTTTGGAGCGAAGTTTAAGCATGGAGAAACTCTTACTGAACTTCCTGGTGTTACTGAAGTCCAACCCCCCACCCATCCTCCCACCCATCCTCCCACCATCCTCCCACCCATCCCCCCACCCATCCTCCCACCCATCCTACAACCCATCCCTCCTCACACCTCACCTCTCATCCACTCGCCTCGCTCACTCTGATCCCTCCCGTATTTATCCCCTCCCGTATTTTTCCCCTCCTTACACTCTTGGCCCCTCTCTTTCCCCCTCAGTCCCCCTCTGCTCCGCCTCGTGGGCCCCTCTTTGCCCCCATTCAGCACATCCTCCTTTGCAGTAAAAGACTGAGTACTGCAATGGTTCTCATCCACACAGTTACCCCATTCCGCCCATGGACTTCTCATATTCCCACCCTCCCGTTCCCCATTGCAGCGCATCTCTCTCGGCAGTGAACGATTCGAAGTTGCAGAGGCTCTCTTCCGACCCTCCCTCCTCACCCACAACTCGCTTCTTTGACTCGCCACATGCCGTTCATTCTTGGCCCCCCTTTTCTCAACCTCCCTTCCATTGCAGCGCATCTCTCTCGGCAGTGAACAACTTGAGGTTGCAGAGGCCCTCTTCAGACCCTCCCTCCTCGCCCACAACTCGCTTCTTTGACTCGCCACATGCCGTTCATTCTTGGCCCCCTTCTTCTCAACCTCCCCTCCCATTGCAGCGCATCTCTCTCGGCAGTGAACGACTTGAGGTTGCAGAGGCCCTCTTCAGACCCTCCCTCCTCGCCACAACTCACTTCTCTCACCGCCCTCCTCGAGGCCTCCCATTGGCTGGTCCCGACTCGGCTGGCATCGTTCGGCAGCTTCTGAGTGTGGTGTTCGATGCAGCAGGGCTAGGAGGGGGAGGCGGAGGAGGAGGGGTAGGGGGAGGGATGGGGGGTGTGGGCGGGGGAGGAGGCTCGGGGGAGGAGGGATGGGGGTGGAAGGGGGGGAAAGCAGCGGGCAGCCTTGGAGTCCATTGCGGTGGTGGGGGGAGGGTCGTGCCTCAAGGGGTTGGTGGATCGGTTTCAGAGTGACGTGCAGACGGCAGTGTGTCCCTCCCTGCAACCCACCGTCGTGCGGGTGAGTGGGTGAGAGGGGTTAGTGGGATGAGCAGCTGGGCGGTTGGGCGGTTGTGCAGTGGGGTGAGGGGAGGGTGAGGTGAGGGTGAGGGGAGGGTGAGGGGAGGGTGAGGGGCTTTGAGTGGGTGGGGGCGTGGGTTGTGTGAGTGGTTTGGTGAGTGGGTGGTGAGTGGTTGGGAGTGGGTGGTTGAGTTGAGTGAGAATTGAGTGGGTTTTAGTGGGGTATGGAGAGGTAATATCTATCTGCATTGTGAAGTGCATGAAGCACTGTCTCAACTGGTTTGTAAAGGAAGGTGTGTGGGGGTGACTTTTGAGTCAACTCAAAAGGCACCTTGTGCGACAGATCGTGCAGCACATGTGTTTTGTCCACCACAGGAGCCATCATCTATATAACCTTTTATGGAACCACGTGTCAGTCCAGCTTCGGTCTCAACTTTATCAGCTCTCCTACTTCTTCTCAACTTCTTTCTTTTCTCGGGATTATAAATTTTGTCCCGCTGTAACTCTTTGCCACTCGAAACTTTCTTCTCACAACCTCTTCCCCCCTACGTTAACCTGAACCTTTAGGCACCTGACTACATGCCGGACAAACACCGCCCGCTACGCCTCGTGGTACGGAGGGGCCATAGTGGCGCGCATTGTGTTCTCTCAGAATCAGCACGTCACTCGCGCTGAGTACAACGAGAGGGCCCTGCTGCTGTGCACCGCAAGAGCATGTAGTGAGTCTGCGAGTCGACTAGAAAGCCTCATGGTATGGAGGGGCCATAGTGGTGCGCATTGTGTTCTCGCAGAACCAGCATCTCACTCGCGCAGAGTACAATGAGAGGGGCCTGCTGCTGTGCACCGCAAGAGCATGTGATTGTGCTGATGTGGCTGTAAATGATTTGCTATGCTTTGTGGTACGAAGGGGCCATAGTGACTCGCATTGTCTTCTCTCAGAATCAGCATGTTACATGGGTTGAATTCAATGAGAGGGGGCATTCCGCTGTGCACCGCAAAAGCATATGATTGTATCATTGTGCTGAGGTGATAGTATGGTAAATGGCCTGCGCACCGCAAAAGATGAAATAGTAAATGATTCCTGTACCGTGTAAAGGCCGTGCGATCATGCTTTTGTGTTGGTAACAAATCCCCCACTGCAAAAGCATGTGGATGTGCATAGTAGTAGGTTGTTTTTTCTCGCATTAATCCTGCATTTCGTTATGGTCATTCATGTCTCAAAGCGGGGGCAGTCTCCAGCGGAGATGGAGCGGACCCATTCCTCCTACTAACCCGTTGTATGCATCCCTCGTTACAAGGTAGCGTACACGATTAGAGGCCATGAATTTCTTTTCCACAAGGGCCATGTTGTCGAGAGCTCAAAATTCACGAACCCTATCTAACCGTATCATACCGTAAATAACAGGCTCTGTCAGACAGAGCATCGTACCCAACCGCGTTCGGGCGACGCCTCGCAGAGTCTTGGAAGCAACTCGTGACAAAGTTCAAGCAGCACACACCGCCACTAGGTCTGTAGGGTGAGAGAGGTTGGTCTGGTCTCCCAGTATTCCGAGCAGTTTTCTGCTCAACTAAAAACAGTAAGCAAGATCAAACTTGTGTTTCGACACGGCGCGATGCAATGCCGCCATACTGTTAACTAGGCGAAGTATCGCGATTCGAAGCATTCCCTCTAGGTTTATCGGCGGCGAACACGGATCTCCCTTGTTTCTCTCCGAAGCCTGGAAAGAGGCTCAGAAAGAAGCGCCGGAGGTTCGGCAGACACGCGAGGTTCCGCCAAACCCCGTCTGATAACGAGCCTGCAGCGCAGGCTCGGCGTAAGTGCCACAGGATGTCCGAAGCTGATAGGATAAATCCAACAAATGCCACCTCTCCCGCAATAGCGTCCCTCCGATCAGATTGTAATGCCGCCTCGATAATCAATCTCAAGGAGATGTCGGCAGATCTACCTCCCTTAGATCCCACCTCAATCCGCGGTTCTGGTCGCGTCGCGAATGCCTTCCGCAACTGACGCCGCCGCAAACGCCTCCGCAGGACGCAACGAGCCCCGCGACCGACGCCGCCGCCAGTGGCGACGCAGATGGTGCCGCAATCGGCGGCGCCACAGCATCGGAAGGTCCTATCATGGAGCCTGATTCGGACGAGCGCGTGTGGCGCAAGGTGCCGTTGGCGCAAGGAGACTCGGACCCCCATGTGTGGCGCAAGGTGCTGTACCTGCGGCAGCCGTTCGACGACACGCACACGGACCCGCGCACCTTCCTCGCCGACATGCGCACCAACGCCGGCGTCGTCAAGCCGCGCTACTGGTCGCTCGTACGGGACTCCTCCGTGCTCACGCTGAGGTACGCCTCTCTCTCCGCTCCAGGTACACCATTCCCCTTCCCCCCTTCCCCACTTCCCCCCTTCCCACTTTCCCCCCTCCCCGCTTCCCCCCTTCCCCTCCCCCTCCCCCTCCCCCTCCCCCTCCCCCTCCCCCTCCCCCTCCCCCCTCCCCCCTCCCCCCTCCCCCTCCCCCTCCCCCTCCCCCTCCCCCCTCCCCCCTCCCCCCTCCCATCTCACTCCCCTTACCCCTTACCCCCTTCCCCGTTCCCCCTCCCCCTATTCCTGCGCTCACTTCCTCTCCCTCACGATCGGACGTGTGTTCCACACCACACCTCCTTCCACCCCTTCCTTTCCCCTCGCTCCCACTCTCACATGTTCCTCCTTCCGCCCTGCTCGTCGTCTCTCTCGTCCGTTGCATCCCCTCCCACCCCTCTGTCCCCAAATATTCCTCATCTGCGCCCCTACCCTACGCTGTGCCCCAGTGCCCATGTAGCTTTCAGAACTCTCACCGCCGCAAGTAGCTTTCAGAACTCTCACCGCCTCTCTAACCCGTGCTATTGTCCGCACGGGGACATGTTTCCTCATGCTGTTTTCCGTTCGCATGGTCTGGTCTAGTTTTGAGTCGACTCAAAACTTTCCTCGTGCTGTTTCCGTTCCCCATGGTCTGCTCTCCTCCCAGTTTTTCTGTTTCTGTTGTCCTCCCATGTTCCTCCCTCCTCTCCGCCCTGGTCGCCGATCCTGGTCGCCGATCCTGGTCGCCGATCCTGGTCGCCGATCCTGGTCGCCGATCCTGGTCGCCGATCCTGGTCGCCGATCCTGGTTGCCGATCCTGGTCGCCGATCCTGGTCGCCGATCCTGGTCGCCGATCCTGGTCCGCCGATCCTGGTCGCCGATCCTGGTGCGATCTGGTCGCCGATCCTGGTCGCCGATCCTGGTCGCCGATCCTGGTCGCCGCCACCCAAGCATGTCTACCCCTTCTTTGACTCGCACCACCTCTCCGCCCGTGCTGTTTTCCTCCTCATCCACCTCACGTATCACACATGTTCATATGCCCCCCAATCCCCCTTCCCATATGTTTCTCATCTCCGCCCTGGTTGGGTCGTAAGTTTTCTTCCTTCCTTGACCAGCAACATCGCTCACATATTCGCTTGTTACCCCTCTCCCCCACCCCCTGTCCCCAGATGCTCCTCGTCTCCGCCCTCACGGTCGTCTATGTCTTCCTCGACTCGCATCGCCTCTCCACTCGGACGCTCTTCCTGCTCGATTCACTCGCACATTACACATACCCACTGTCTTCCACCCACACCACCCCCCCTCCTTTCTCGTCTCCCGCCTCCATCCGATTCCCAGACGTTCCTCGTATCAGCCCTAGTCGTCGTCTATTTCTTCCTCGACTTGCATCGCCTCTCCACTCGGACGCTCTTCCTGCGCGATTCACTCTCACATTACACATACCCACTGCCCTCCACCCACACCACCCCCCCTCCTTTCTCGCCTCCCGCCTCCATCCAATTCCCAGATGTTCCTAGTATCCGCTCTGGTGGTCGTCTATTTCTTCCTCGACTCGCACCGTCTCTCTGCCCGCACTCTCTTCCTGCTCGACTCGCTCTCCCTCGCTGCCGGTGTGCTGCTCTCCTCCCTCGCCTCCCTGCACCTGCAGCGCCACACACCAAGGGGAAATGGTCTTCCCATTCTCACATGCTCCTCCCATTTCCCGCCCATCCCTCCTCCCATTTTCAGATGTTCCTCGTATCTGCCCTGATGGTCGTCTATTTCTTCCTGGATTCCCACCGCCTCTCCGCCCGCACTCTCTTCCTGCTCGACTCGCTCTCCCTCGCTGCCGGTGTGCTGCTCTCCTCCCTCGCCTCCCTGCGCTTACAGCGACACAAACGCCTGCGGCAGCACTTGAAGGGGGAGCAGATGAAGCAGCAGCAGCAGCTGAAAGGAGGAATGTTCCCCCCATTCTCACCTGTTCCTCCCATTTCCCTCCCCATTCCTCTCATCCCCAGATGTTCCTCGTATCAGCCCTGCTGGTCGTCTATTTCTTCCTCGACTCGCATCGCCTCTCCGCCCTCGTTCTCTTACCCTGTTCCATTCCACCTCACATAGTGCACATGTTTGTGTCCTCTCCTGCTCCCTCTGTTTCCAGATGTTCCTAGTACCAGCCCTGGTGGTCGTCTATTTCTTCCTCGAATCACACCGTCTCTCCGCCCGAACGCTCTTCCGCCCAGTCCATCACTCACACATGATGCATGCTCTGCACCCCTCCTCCCGTCCCATCTCAGATGTTCCTAGTATCCGCCCTGGTGGTCGTCTATTTCTTCCTCGACTCGCATCGTCTCTCTGCCCGCACGCTCTTCTCGCTCGACTCGCTCTCCTATCACACATACCCTCTACCCCCCCCCCCGCCCCCCCCTCCCACCTCCTTTTCCCTCTCCCTCCTCCCTCCCATTCTCAGATGTTCCTCGTATCAGCCCTGGTGGTCGTCTATTTCTTCCTCGACTCGCACCGCCTCTCTGCCCGCACTCTCTTCCTGCTCGACTCGCTCTCCCTCGCTGCCGGTGTGCTGCTCTCCTCCCTCGCCTCCCTTCGCTTACAGCGACACAAACGCCTGCAGCACCACTTGAAGGGGCAGCAGCAACAGCAGCAGCAGCAACCGCACGCATCTGCACCACAGTCCACCCCTCCTCCCTCCTCCACTCCCCCTTCCCCATCCCTGTCCCTCCCACCTCCCACCCTCCTCGATCTCCTCTCTGCCTCTCGCCTCCCTCGCTTGATAGTCGATTGTTCCATCTTTGTTTTTGGTCTCTACCTCCTCTCCCCCATCCTCCACACTCTCACTCAGTCTATAAGCTCTGACACTGTCGCCTCCTGTACCACCCTCCTCTTCCTCCTACACCTCTTCTTCCACGATTATAACTACTCTACAGCAGCTACACTCTCCTTTTCCGGGAATTTATCGTTAATGTCTGCGATTTACGCATCTGTGCTGCTGGCTTCTCGGCTTAGCACCACTGCGCAAGTATACGCGTTCATGTGGCTGGCACTTAGCGTTTTCAGCCTGCTGCCGTCGTTGCTGCACCACTGGCGGCGCGCTAATCCGCAAACGCACCGCGTGCTTGTATGGGGGATGAAAGCGGTGGCTCTGGCGGTGCTGATGGCGTGGCATAAGGGGTTTGCCGTGGTGGTGGTGGTGGCGGCGGCAGCGGTAACCTACGTGTTCCCGCTTCTCTTTGTGTACATGCACAAGGAAAAGCAGTTCATCAAGGGACCGTGGGATGAAGCCCAACCGGGGACCAGCAGCAGTTGAAAGAGGCATTAACCTTCCTCGGTTCTGCTCTTTGTGTACATGAACAAGGAAAAGCAGTTCATCAAGGGACCCTGGGATGAAGCGCAACCAGGGACAAGCAGCAGCTGATAGAGGCATTAGTCTTCCTTGGTTCTCTTTGTGTACATGCACAAGGAGAAGCAGTTTATTAAAGGACTGTGGGATGAAGCCCCACCAGGGACCAGCAGCAATTGACAGAGGGATCGTTTCATGGAAAAAGCTGCAGCAGCTGAGGTTCTTATCAAGGAGGGGAACAGGCAGCATAGCTTCATTCCTAGGTGCTTCTCTTTGTGTACATGCACAAGGAGAAGCAGTTTATCAAAGGACCGTGGGATGAAGCCCAGCCGGGGACCAGCAGCAGTTGATGGAGGCACTGTTGCATGGAAGCAGCACATTTTGGAGGCACTGAAGGGTCCTCCCATCCATTTGCTCTTTCTTTGTGTTCATGCACAAGGAAAAGCAATTCATTAAAGGCCCCTGGGATGAAGCCCAGTCGGGGACCGGCAGCAGTTGACAATAGGGGTGTGACACAGTGGCATGGAAGCAGAAGCAGCACAGGCGTTTAAACTGCATGGGTCCTTTCTTTGACTTTCTCTCTGAACACTTGCATAAGGAGGCTGTTTATTGAAGGTTCAAGGTCCGTTTGTGGGACGCAGTGAGGCCACCAGGGCAAAAAATGTAAATTGCCACATGCTCAACACCGTGCTAGCACATGGTACGAATAAGAATAAAGCCAGCTTTCTTTCATTTCAATGCATGGGAAGAAACATACCGTACGATATATGTAACTTTCACTACACCCCGTTGCTCTTCGCAACCGACTGGCAAAATGCCACTGCATCTGCAGCAGAGAGAAACAGCCACTCGTCACCCAACTCCTCAATAAACCCTGAGAGAGCCAGCTTTCTTAGAACCACTGTGGCTGGATTGGTCAGCACTAGCTGCACCTGGTGGCGATGTAAGAGGTTGAGGAGGTCTTGTAGGGCGTGGATGGCTGTTGTGTCAATGTCGGTTACTGACGTGCAATCCAACACCACATGCTGCGTGAGGCAGGGAAAGAGGGATGCGAATGGGGAAGAGGCGAGAATAAAAAGTAAGGAGACTAAGATTTTGACTCTAAGGTCATCGCTTGTGTGCCACTTACACGTGTGCCCAAGGGAATTTTGAATGTGGACTGTTGTGTGAGAGTAGCGGTATCCCCACCCGCACTACCCACATCTGTGAGGCATCTAAATGTGAGCCGCCTTTGCGAGGTCTTGAAATCATATCCTTGAATCCACGGCACCACCTTCAGCTCCCCCTGAATCACACCTGCCCCCATGCCCTCATGCCCACATGTCGCATGCCCCCATACCCCCATGCGCTCATGCCCCCATAAAACAAATGCAAAACACACACACACACACTCCCCACTCACCATGATTCTCTTCTTGTCGCCTCGCGCACTCCTCTCCACCGCTCTCAACACCCGCTGCCGCACATAGCTTGCACTGGGAAGAGCAGCGGTCCATTCACCCTCACCACCCACACCCCCTCCTCCACTTCTGCTTCGGGATACTGCTCCACACTTCCGTACACCCCTGTACCCGTAATGAGCCCCAGGGTCGGCAGCTTTGGGCGAGCAACCTGCACAAAGAACTTCAGCATTGAAACGAGGACGCCTATAAGGAGTCCGATTTCCATGGAGACAAAGAGAATACCCAAGGCGGTTCCTAGAGTGATGAGAAAATCAACTTTGTCGGTTTTAAGGATGAGAGCCATGGCTGTAAAATCCACCAATCCAGCGACAGCAACGATAATGATTGCAGAGAGGGTGGCTGTAGGGAGGTACTGAAACGCGGGCGTGACCGCAACGAGCGTGACTAAAACGAAGCACCGACATAATCACGTTGGTCAGCGCGGTTTTCCCGCCGGAATTGTAGTTGACAGCGGACCGCGAGAACGACCCAGTAACCACGTAGGTCGAGGAGAAGGAGCCTCCGATATTCGCCATGCCGAGAGCGATCATCTCGCGGTTACCATCCACCTCGTAACCCTCCAAAGTCGCAAACATTCTAGCGATCGCAGTCGCTTCCGCTAAAGCGATCAGCGCCGCGACAATCCCTATGGAAGCAGCAGCCGCGCAATCAGGGCCCGACAGCTGGAGCTGAGTCAGCGAGCCGAACGAGGCGACGCCAGCTGGCAGGGGCTTGACGGTGGGGATGTTGTAGGGGGGTTTGTTGCCGCCGCCCAGAAGGTAGACGGCGAGGGAGGTGGCGGTGACTGCGAGGATTGGGCCGAGGCAGTTGAGGTAGAAGAGTGGCTTGCCGAGCCTGGGGTGGGGCTTGAAATGGTGTGCCTGCGCATGCATGTGCGGGGACGGGATGGATGGATGGGGAGTATTGAACATGGGAAGAGGGAGTTTTGGTGTTTTGGTGGGCAGTTGAGGTAGAAGATCGGCTTGACGAGCCTAGGGTGGGGCTTGAAATGGTGGGTCTGTGCATGCAGAAGCGAGGAGGAAAGTGGATGAGGGTATCACACACAGAGTGCGAGGAGGGAAAGGGATGGGAGTATTACACACAGAGGGCGAGGAGGGAAAGGGATGGGAGTATCATACACAGAGGGAAAGGAGGGAAAGGGATGGAGTATCATACACAGAGGGCAAGGAGGGAAGGGGATGGGATGGAATGGGATGGGATGGGATGGGAATGTTGGAAGGCTGCTCAAATAAAAAAGGCGGGGCGTACCAGGAAGCGGAGCGAGAGGAGGAAGAGAAGCACCGCCATGCCAATGACAAATGCACGCCAGCTCGAACTGTGCAAGGAGGAGAGGGAGGGAAAGGAATGGGAGCGGAGGGGAAGGGGAGGGGAGGGGAGGGGAATGGAGGCACTTGTTATCCTAGCACCAGACTTGACAGACTCACCAAATATCCTAACTCACCAGGTGTGCCAGACTCACCAGGTGTGTTAGACTCACCAGGTGTGCCGGACTCACCAGGTGTGCCCGACTCACCAGGTGTGCCCGACTCACCAGGTGTGCCCGACTCACCAGGTGTGCCCGCCCTCACCAGGTGTGCCTGACTCACCAGGTGTGCCCGACTCACCAGGTGTGTTAGACTCACCAGGTGTGCCCGACTCACCAGGTGTGCCTGACTCACCAGGTGTGCCCGACTCACCAGGTGTGCCCGACTCACCAGGTGTGCCAGACTCACCAGGTGTGTAAGACTCACCAGGTGTGCCGGACTCACCAGGTGTGCCAGACTCACCAGGTGTGCCCGCCTCACCAGGTGTGCCAGACTCACCAGGTGTGTTAGACTCACCAGGTGTGCCCGACTCACCAGGTGTGCCTGACTCACCAGGTGTGCCCGACTCACCAGGTGTGCCCGACTCACCAGGTGTGCCAGACTCACCAGGTGTGTAAGACTCACCAGGTGTGCCGGACTCACCAGGTGTGCCAGACTCACCAGGTGTGCCCGCCTCACCAGGTGTGCCAGACTCACCAGGTGTGTTAGACTCACCAGGTGTGTTAGACTCACCAGGTGTGCTGGACTCACCAGGTGTGCCCGACTCACCAGGTGTGCCGGACTCACCAGGTGTGCCCGACTCACCAGGCGTGCCCGACTCACCAGGCGTGCCCGACTCACCAGGTGTGCCCGACTCACCAGGTGTGCCCGACTCACCAGGTGTGCGGGACTCACCAGGTGTGCGGGACTCACCAGGTGTGCCGGACTCACCAAGTGCGCCTTACTCACCAGGTGTGCCGGACTCACTAGGTGTGCTAGACTCACTAGGTGTGCCAGACTCACTAGGTGTGCCAGACTCACTAGGTGTGCCAGACTCACTAGGTGTGACAAACTCACTAGGTGTGCCAGACTCACCAGGTGTGTTAGACTCACCAGGTGTGCCAGACTCACCAGGTGTGTTAGACTCACCAGGTGTGTTAGACTCACCAGGTGTGTTAGACTCACCAGATACGTGTTGCTGAACACATAGCCCAACACCGACTGCACGTTCGCTTTCGTGGTGAACGTCGCATACCCCAGCAGCCCCTTAAGCTGCTGCAGGCCGATCGTCACCGCCGCTCCCCCCATGAACCCCACAACCACCGGGTGGCACAGCAGATCCACCACAAACCCCAGGCGCAGCAGCCCCATGGCCAGCTGAAACACCCCCGCGAAGAAGGTGGAGGTGAAGGCGAGGCGGAGGTACTGGGAGGGCTGGGACTCGGGGTTGTAATGGGTGGAGAGGAGCTCTCCCATGAGGAGCGAGACGATGGCGACTGGTGCTATGGCCATGTGGCGCGATGTGCCAAATATGGCGTAGACGGCCGGGGGAATGAAGCTGCCGTCTGGATTGAATTGGAAATGGGGGGAAGGGGAGAAGTGGGGAGGGGGGAGGGTGGGGGGTGGAGGGAGGGGGATGGAGATTTGTTAAAGCTAATTTCCAGAAAATGAGAGGAGGGGGGAAGGACACAGGGGCAGAAGAAGAAGAGAAAGAAAAACGGAAAAAACAGGAGGATGAATTTGTCGCCTAGTAAAGGCTGGGAATTGGTGAAGAGAAAAGAGGATGCTTTGGAGATGGATAAGAGGGTTTGGGTTTGTGATTTCAGTTTACTTGATCGCAAGGGTGAAGAGTGCAGTGAGAAACGAAACTCGCCTCAGCAGCAGACAAATATGGGGAGGTTAGCGGCGGGGGAGAGCTTTTTTTGAGTCGACTCAAAAGCAAATATGGGGAGGTTAGGGGCAGGGGAGAGGATGAGGGAGTTACATACAGAGGCCGTTGATTGGAGGCACGTGGGCCAGTTGTGCATATCCCAAGTCCTGCAGAGAGGAGAGGAGGGATGGGGGAAGTGGTCAAGGAAAAATATTGATTGGAATTATCATAAGCAAGGGTGGTGACACATTAGTACTAAACTTGTACTAAGAGCCCCCCCGCCAATCTACAACCACCACATTTCTTCACAATTATGACTATCTGACCTAACGCTTAGCGTCTAAAGGGAACAGGTTAGCGGTTAGTGTCTGACAGGCCAAATGGTTAGCGCATGACCAAGCGGTTAGCGGTTAGGGTGACCTGCGAGATTCACAGTGTGTCTGACGACAGACAGTTAATGTGTGACCTGGGGGATGGCAAAGGGCGGGTAGCGTCTAACCAAGGGCCTAGCGGTGAGGGTGAGACATCGAGCGGTTAGCATGTGACCAGGGGGATGGCAAAGGGCGGGTGGTGTCTGACCTGGGTTATGGCGAGGCTAGTAAGGGCGAAGCGGGTTAGCGGTTAGCATCTGGCAGACCAAACAAGCAGCGCGTGGCCAAGCAGTTAGCAGTTAGCCGTCAGCAGTTAGCAGTTAGCCGTTAGCAGTTAGCAATTAGCCGTTAGCAGTTAGCATATAGCGGTTAGCGGTATCTGACCTGGGGGATGGCGAGGCTGGTGATAGTAAAGCCGGCGACCACGTCACCCGGGAGCCACGTCAGCTTGTACTCCGACAGCCACTGCAGGATCGGGAACACGTGGAAGAGCGCGCGCCTGACGCACTCCAGATAAGATCCGCACCCTTCGCTCCGAAATCCACTAAAGGATCCGCTTCGCGATTCGCGCCGGGACTCGCGCGACGGGCCGCCATGGTGGTCTAATAAGTCGTCGATGTCTAGGAGCGACTTGATGGGAGCGACGGCGTCGACGAGCTCGTCTCTAAGGCTCGCAGGTGGGATGACGACTCGCTGATGCGACTCTTGGCGGTGCTGCGAATCTCGATGTTGCGGCTCTTCGAGTTCCAGGCTCTTGGCGTCATCCTTCGCCAGCGTTACAAATTCTGGCAAATTCTCGTGACGAATCGCTCCCATCTCGCAGCAACCACGGTGGCGGCTCCCCGATGCCTCATCCCCAACATGGTCATCCCCGTTAGAAGCCATACCACTGCGACAGGAGCAAGGCGTGACCGTACTACAGCGCGGAAAATGGCCTGGCCGACTGAGCTGTCACCAACTTCAAGTTTTACACAGAATAGAAGCTTGATTAACGCGTTCCAAAAACTGTCCTACCTATCATTAGCAAGTACGACGAAGTCCGTGGCATCGCAACACGTGACGAGATTAATATACACGGAGGTTCTGAGGCCACTGAAGCGAAGGCGACGCGAGGAGGGCGACGGAGCACTGGGCCCGGTATTGATGGAGGGAGAGGAGCGAGGGCACGGGCCGGAATGTGCGGAAGAGATGGGAGACAGCCGACGACGACACAGCGGCGACGATCCCCACGACGACCCGCTGCGCTTCTTTCGACGCGACAAAACCGCGAAATTTTATTTTTACGACAGCGGCCTGTTTGCAAACGATTGGACATGCGGTTTTTCCCTTCTCGCGTCACCTCCGGTGGCTTTCGAGTGGACGAAAAAGGCTCACGAAGGTCAGGGTGACTTATGTGATTGCTGGTGGCCGTCGAAAAGGGTGCCTGGATGAAAAGTTTTAGGCATTATGAATCGCCTCGCAAGTGAATGAAGAAAAGCCCGAAGCCTTTTCCATGGCCGAAAGACAGCCCTGCCTTCCACTGCCGAAATGTATCTGTCGTTTCAGAGTCCTGAAACAACATACTCGTAGTACTTGCATTGCAAGAGTAACTACGACGACTCGAACACAACGACCCCTCGAGGAACGACGATCCTTCGGAAATGCTGAGATGAGAGAATGGTGGTGCTCTGCAGGCACATCACGAGGGCGGGAGAAGGGTGGGAGAAGGGAAATGCCGATGTTGAGTGACTTTTCATGAATACGGAGGCTAGGTAGAAAGTGATACTTGTAGCGACACAAACACGCGGCACATCGGGTAAGGCCCAATAACAGCCCCAGAAATAAAGCGGGAAACAGACCGTGAACCACCCGATTTTCGGCACTTGGCAGATCGGTGGTGTAGCTGGTACGCCACCTCGGGAAATGCTCGAAAACAAACCGAAGAAAAAACTACCCAGACCTCTCCCCCCCCATCCCACCCGTTCCCCACACCTGCTTGTACACGTACCTCTTTTTCGTCTCCCCCCCTTCTCCCTTTTTTCTCCCTTGTCCCTTTTTCTCATCTCCCCCCACTTTATCCAGATCTTTTACCCGCAGTTGTTTTCAGCTCAGGTCTCTCATTTCTCACAACCATTTTGCTTCTCGAATCTTGAGTTGGAAAGCCACCGTTGCATAGTAGCTACTCCGAACACTTGTCACAGTCTGGATTTTACTTTCGTATCTTCGTCATCTCCTCTAATCCAACAGGGCAGGCGCTATGCCAAGTGCCGTGCGAAACAGGGACGTGACACATTATTTACCATTCCGAGTCGCTTGTCTTTCTTCCTAGCATAAGTGGCTTCTTGGTCTTCCTCTCTTCATATCCTATCAACTTTCTCTATCACGTTTCTGAATCCCGTCTCCTTAGCTCAGCTCTCGTCCGCAACTATCCTCAGTCTCGCTTCAACTCGCGAAGGAGTTTTAACAGACCCAGCAGGAGCCAATGGAGACTCCCACAAACATAGATGCGCTTCCTGACGACATACTCGGTAGAATCTTGTTTTACTACGAGCAGTACGAGCATCCCGTGCCTAGAAAATCGGCCAGAGACGCTTTATGGGACTTGCTTTCCTTGTCTCCGTCTCCACAGTACCTTTCTGCACACCCTTCGAGTGAGAAGGCAAGGTGCCATGACAGGGAGACGCCGTTACCGAAGCTTCTCCCATCTGCGAACATCGACCGCATTCTTCAAATCTCCTCCCTCTGCCGCCGTTGGCGCCGACTTTCCCGCCACTACGTCAACGCGCTTCTTCTCGATAACGACAAACCTTCCGTTTCTAGCCAAACACTGGCGAACAGTTTCAATCTATTCCCAAAACTAACCCATCTCCATCTGAGCGACGGCCGCGTGAGCACTATAAATGACGCGTTCCTCTCTCGCCTCTCCTCGTCATGCCCACAGCTAAAGATTCTTCACATCGGAACCTCAACGGTGGCGGCTGATGAAATTGGAGCGACGAAAGACGACTTCCCAGTCACAGACGCAGGCTTGGATCTGTTTTTCCAACGCTGCTCTCAGCTGGAGCAGCTCTCACTCTACTGCCTCCATCCAGACGTCGAATATCGCGCTTCCTTCTTGCAGCTAGCGCATCTGCACACTTTCCTTCTCCCCAACCTTCAAAACCCTGAAGCTCCCGAGTTTGCAAACCTCACTTCGCTGACCCACCTTCACTTCCTCTCCAATGAAACGCCAACACATCAGCAACTGGCCAACCTTCCTCGCCTCCCAGGCATCACATCTCTTTCTGTCTCCGACAACATCAACTCTCTCCGTCGGTATGAGGACCCCCTTGATGACCTTTTTGAGATTCCTCCTGAGAACCCCCCTGAGGAACCTCCTAACTTCAATCTCGCGCAGCTGCCTCGTCTCAAATCGTTGAAATTCGATCACCGCTTGCCGTTGACAGCGCCCTGCACCAACATCCAACGGCTGGAAATCCACAGGATGGGTCGACTAGACTGGCTGCGCCTTTCGGGTGACTTTGGACACTTGCTGCCTTCTCTCCGTGACCTCACGTTTCACGGCACGCTAGATTATTCGATCGACTGCCCTGAGGTTTTCCTGCCTTGGACCCTCCCTTCCCTAGCTCTTTTAGAAAGCCTGACCATTTCCAACTGCTCTGGGCTTTCCAGGCTCCCCGAGGGATTCGGGAACTTGTGTGCCTTGCAGACGCTGGTGCTGCGGAACCTGTCTCTCTCAGACCTCCCTCATTCCATCGTTCAGCTTTCAGCCCTGAAAACACTCGTGCTGCACACTCTCTCTCTCTCCCGCCTCCCTGATTCCATCTGTCAATGTACCTCCCTGAAAACACTCGTTCTGTTTCACCAGCCACTCACTTTCCTCCCTGAATCCCTCAGTCAGCTCACCTCCCTAGAGACATTTATTTTGAAAGACTGCGGTTCCATCAGCAAACAGGAATCTTTCCAGCTGCCCGAATCTTTCTGCCGCCTCACTGCACTCCAGACCCTTTGCATCGCGCGCATGCCGCAACTGAGGCTCCCAGCGGATATCGGAAACCTCTTCAATCTGCAGACGGTTTTTCTGGACAGATTGCTGCAGCAGCTGCAGCTGCCGGAAACTTTCACCCGGCTGTCTTCCCTGACATGGCTTGAACTGAGCGGCTGCATGATTCAAGAGCTTCCTGAGACCCTCGGGAATCTGTCTAACCTGCAAGAATTGCGTGTCTATTCTTGCCCAGCCCTTCTGAAGCTTCCAGAGTCCCTAACAAGGCTGTCATGCCTTGAGAATCTTA